GGTCGAATCACTCTTTCTGTCACAACTACATTAGATCCATCAGCTAGATCAGGAATGCTCATAGAAGTGGGTATCCTTGAGTTTGGTGCAATAACCCTTTCTGTGACCACCACATTTGATCCATCTGGTATATCAGGGATATCTATCATGCCATGGAAATCAGCGACTGAGGCAGGACCAACCACTCTTTCTGTGACTACAACATTTGATCCGCACAACGGATCAACACTAATTGTGGGAGGTTTCAGAGCTGGTCCAGATGTATATGTCTCAGTTACCACTACATTACCATAGTTTACTGGGTCAGGTATAGGCCTTGGTGGAGGTTGTACAGTGGAAGTAGTTGTATAGGTGTTTTCAGTAACAACTGTCGTACCACCAACAGCAGTAGGCACTGGTGAAGACATTGGTGGAGGTACTGGTAGAGGCATAGATGAAGATGTATTAACAACAATGGTTGTCCCTGGTGGTGGAAGATTCATATCTATTTCAGGATTGGGAACAGAAGGCCAAGGTGAGTTGGGATCTGGGAAGGGCTCAATTTCGACACCCAAGCAGATTTCTGCCAGTGTCTTAAACTTTGGTCCCAACGTATCCAGATAGGTGTCATCCAAATCTTCTCCAATAAAACTACAGCAGCCAATGGAACCAACGGGACTTCCTATACCCTCATGGTCATATATCAGTAGACAGTCATTTGCAGGTCTGCCTTCATCTTCATCTGCATAGGCAAATGCTTTCTAAAAATAAAGAGAGGAAAGACAGAATTAGACCATCCTTATTCACTTGTCATTTACATGGTGAGAAGAATCAAAATTACCACCAAAAGATTGAAAAGCAGAGATAATATGATACATATCAATGGCAAAAGTGGGTGCAACAGTTAGATTTATTCAGGTAACTTCCTCCTGTTGTAAGCCAAATATTATATATCCCATATTATATTATGACCTGAGGAAATGTGTTTTCATATGAATTTTGTGCCTAGTGACCTTAAGAAATGACTACTGCTCCTCAGTTTTCTATACCCAGAGTACTCAACTTTTTGTTTAAAAAATGAAGAGTTCTGTGTACAGGAAGTCCAAATTCTACATTAAGAAAAGTCAAATCCTAAAATCTATCGAAAGTATCAAAACATGGATAATTTCTCCAATGCATACAGTATATGCAATACAATTTATTTTGGCCTGTGGTCATGGAAAGTAGTCAGGAGCTGAAGCCTCATGTCCATCCAATGAAAATCCTTTGCTGCCTTTCTGGCTTCTGAGATTCCTCCAGGTATTACACACTTTCAAGCATATTTTTGAAACAGTTGTTAGAAGCTTACTTTAAAAAATGAAACCAAAGATCTTTAGGAAGCTGAATTCAGTGCCCTAAACCACATTCCAATAAATCACAGCATAGCCACAATATCTGCCCTATGCAAGCACAGCAAAGCCTCCTCTTAGCACGCTTATGGGACTGATGCTCATAGAATCATTAGACTTAGTTGGATACTATTATCCCTTTCAGTTAAGTGAAGAGCCTTGTTCCATCAAAGAAGGCTCTGCATTGGCATCTGAGTAGCCATGATGTAGATCACATATCGCTATTAAACTCAGTTACAACTAGGGATGGGCACAAACCGGTTCATGAACTAAAGTTCATGATGAATTTTGGCCGGTTCATGATTAGTGAACTGAAGTTCATGGCACGTCAATTGGCATGAACTTTCCATGAACTTTCAAGCAGTTTGTGGAAATTCGTGCTGGTTCATGAATGGATACATTTCCAGATAGATCGTCTAGGCTTTCAAGCAGTTTGTGGTAGTTTGTGCTGGTTCATGAATGGATACATTTCCAGATAGATTGTCTAGGCTCAAACAAAATGTTTACCAAACTTCAAAGCAACAGGCAGGGTGTAATTCTCAAGCCTTAGAAAAACTGTTATCAGTTTCAAACAAGTCATGTCAGTTTCAAGAGGGGTCCCCCTTCCTTGCCAGCATTCCTTTGTGTTCACTTCCCATTTTCTTGCACAGAGCTTGTAACCACCCCTCCCCCTGATTTGTGACTCTATGCTTTGAGAACAATCCTTTTAAGCTTGCAGTGCCAGTGGCACTGGTACTGCTGAGCACTCTGTATATTGTACTGGTTCTGCTGGGCTTGCAAAAATGCCTTTCTTGCTTGGATTGGGATTGAGATGGCATTGCCACATTAGCACTGGGTTCTGCTAGGCTTGCCACCTCCCCCACTTGGATTGTGATTTTGTGCTAGACATCAGTTGAGCTGCCATTGCCACAATGGCACTTGGTTCTGCTGGGCAGTAGTACATTGCACTGGTTCTGCTGGGTTTGCAAAAATGCCCCCCTTTCAGTTTCTACTGTGGAGATTCTCTGCTTTGACCTTAGTTCTGCTGGATTTACACTGCCACAGAGGCACTGGTTTGGCTGGGCACATTGCAGCGGTTCTGCTGGGCTTGCAAAAATGCCCCCCTTTCAGTCTTTACTGCAGAGATTCTCTGGGACTTTGATTCTGTCCTGCTAGGCTTCTATTGCCCCCTTTTTGCTGGTTTTTTCCTGCCTCCATTGGAAACAATGGAGGATGGGGGCACCTTCTTTGGGGGGGGGGAGCATAACTTGGATCCTGTAAATCTAGTCATCACCATACTTGGAGGGCAGGTAATGTAGAGTCATCAGGAGATCCCCTGTGAGCTTGGTGTCTCTAGCATGCTGGGGGGGCATTTTTGCAAACCCAGTTTGTGCCCATCCCTAGTTATGACTGCACATGGCCATGATTCAGATTGGGGTCTTACAGGGATGAGAGAGGCAGTTTAGCCCTTTCACCCCCACATATCTTCACTAACTGAAACTGTCCCCCCCTGCTGTTCATAGTAATCTAAAGTGGTGGGAAAGACAGATACATATTTTGTTGAATTTCTTTTAACAGCTTGGGGAACCTGGCTTCAGTTTATAAAACCATATGGGGCTGAAATGGTTAAAAGGATTAAAAGCTCCCTTTGCCCTCTGTGCGTGGCTCTGATCCAAGTTAATGCTGTGAATGGGGGAAACTGAATGTACAAACATATAGGGAAGATCTTATCACTGATAGTACAAATAACACAGCCTGTCCAGTGAACTTCTGCATTCTCATATCTGTGTCTCAAACTGACATGAAGTTGGTTATTGCAGTAACTGTTCAGACTGTATCAGAAAAGTGACTGCTCAATGCTGAGATCTGAAAGCACAACCTGGAAAACATGGAACTCCTCAAGTAAAATGATTTGTTCAACTCACAATCTAATTAAAGTCGTTAATTAACAGCATGATACTAATAAAAATGTGGTTGAGTATCTCTTTATTTTACTTTTTGTTGATGATATACTAACTTTAGTTCAAACAAAGATATAATTATTTAGCTTCTAGAAAGATATACCAGATTTTTTTCTATCATACTGTCATATGTTTTCTGTCTCTGTATTACAGTATTTCTCACGTCCTCATTGTTTTCCTATTTACCTGAGATCAAAAGTTATTCTTCCTAGTGGCGACATAATCAGTTTATGAAGACAGTAAGGACTGAAAAATGAACATGGGTTACCTCAGAAAAATAACTGTCTAAGAATGCCATGTTCACTCCACTCTCTCTGTATTCTTTCATTGTCCCGCCATATATTTCTTTTCTTCCTGTTGTTCCATAGCCTGTAGTTCCATAATCCACAGTCGTTCCATAACCTTTAGCTGCTCCTAGTGCTGTGGTTTCTTCTGAACTTATCACTCCTCCATCTCCATACTTGGTTGTATAAATATCTGGAAATGAAAAAAAATATTACTTAACACTTTAACAAGAACAAAGAATTGTGTAATTCTACATATTGCAGTCTACTAACCAATACTGAGATAAATTCAAGCCGTTTCAGACTCAATTCATTTGGACAAGCCACTTTCAATGCAAGCCTAATTGCATGCAAGCACTCTCGGGGAGGAGGCAATAAGCACTAGTGAAAACAAAATGGATCTATGTGGTTAATATAGCAATAGAATGTACAATTTAGTGACATTCCTTTAAATTCTATAGCACGTGTCCCAAACTTTTCTGAACCTTTGGGCACCTCTGGACTTCTGACACAGTATGGTGGGCACAGCGACAGAATGGCTGCCACAAAACAGCTGCTGCAGGAGGTGAAGCATGCAGCCACAAAATAGCGGCTACAGTTTACCTTCAGCTACACAGTAAAGATCCCTGTGCTGTGGTGACAACTACTGCCAAAGCAATGTTGTTAGAAATCTACACAGCCAATCAAATCTCCAATGGCCCGTCAGAAGCCTTGCTGGGAAAAGCCCTACATGGCTCCACCCATGTTCAAACAACACTCAGCAGGCACCACTAAAGATGTTGGCAGGTACCATGGCATCCACTCTACAATGTTAAGTGGTGTTAAAGTTTGGATCTGCCCTAAAATCATATGACCTTTGTTCTAAAGCATGGCTTAGATATTGATGCTTTATTTGCTATCAATACTGAAGTTGTTTCAGGCTCCACCTCATTCTGTTAATCTCTGTGGATCCCAGAGGTCATTTCGGGGGGGAATGCGGTGGAACGCAGTTCCCCCGGGTGAGGTGTGGGGGGGGCGGGGCACATGACGAAGCCCCGCCCCCCTGCTTCCAGCCGCTCTGCTTCCAGCCCTCATTCAGCCAGGAGGAGGCAGGAGAAGAGGGAGGGTAAGTTGCTTCCTCCCCGCCTCTCCCCACCCCTGCCTGCCTGAGGCCAGGGAGGGCCTTTGCGGGGCTTCCTCGCACTCCCGCCGGCCTTGCAGGTCCACCGCCGGGCCCCTGATGTCAGGGGGTGCGGTATATGCTAATGAGTTATGCTAATGAGTTCCCCTAGCTCTTTTTCTACGAAACGACCCTTGGGGGATCCAGAAATATTTCAAATAGTGGCTGCATGCAGCAGCTTCCACATGACTTGGATTTTAGAGGGACAACATATGCCTGCTTGTGTATGAAATCATACTTCAGCTTCATTTATGTTAATTTGTCATGTGTGGTACTAAGCTCTAATCAAAAGGACTCCCCACTTTGTAGATTGAAGTGTTTCTGCTACGAAGCCTCTATTACAGAGCTGGGTTATAGTCACATATTTATTCATTATTAAGTCATTTCCAATAGTGTCAATAAAGCCGAGAATAGCCTTTCTTGATGCTGTTGCTCAGGATCCAATCATTTCCATTAAAGTAGCCCTCTTATGGTAGGAAAGTCATTTTTTTCAGCATTTCAAACCACCGTTTGTGTGTATGTGTCTAGAAAATTAGGACAACATATGACACAGATTAAACTTGTGTTTCCAAGAATGTTGAGTCTCCATTAAATAGTTACTGTGATCTCTCCTGTGGTTGTACTGTCTTGTGAATCTAATTATTGCTGTTATGAGTAGGGTTGCCAGACCCCCTGGTGGAGGTGGAGGTCCCGTGCCGCCAGGCCCCACCTCCTCACCACTGATCAGCTGTCAGGCATAGGACTTACCTAGAAAATGAGGAGGCCCAGTCAACATTGCAGCGACGTGTCTACTTTACTTCTGATATGACCTAGAAGTGACCTCATCATGTCGGTCATGTTAGGGTGGCGCTCTGGTATTTGGGCAAAAACTCACGGTAGAAGCCAAATTTACCATAGAATTGTTGACCAAATACCAGAACGCCGCCCAACATTGCTGTGTGATGATGTCACTTCTAGGTAACATTGGAAGTGACATCATCATGCAGCAATGTCAGCTAGGCCTCCCTCCCGCTTCCGGTAAATTCCCCTCATTTCCCACTGGTTGTCAGGAGGGACCCAGCAACCCTAGTTATGAGTACTCCCCTTTTATGACTTGAAAGCAAAACACAAGCAGCCAACATTTTAAAAAGACCAGCCTCAGCATGGCTCTCCCCTGCAGCCTGTGGGCCTTTTTTCCTGCATTTTACATCTCCTCTGATTAAAAGAAATGGAGGAAAGAAATGAAAGAAACAAGATTATCTCATGTCTCTTGCACTATTGCATGGTCACACGCCTGTCCATTAACAGCTAGAATATTGATCTACTGGTGTTGGAGTGAAAAGACTACAAATGGCAGGGTAGGAGTAAAGCGTATTTTGGAAAAAAAAATCACTATAAAGGCTCATGCAGAAGAATGTATAAATTCTATCAAGTGTCTTCCCAAATTCTGAAGAGGATTTTGAAAGAAGCATGCAATGATGACTCCAGTTTAAGGACAATTCTCAGCATGCCATGTACATCACAAATCTAATTTGTTGTAACAGATTCTTTTCTTATACGTGCCCTTTCATTTTGAATGAAGAAAGATAAACTACTTGCTAAGCAAGCCTCAAAATATATACAGGAGCTCTTACTGAGCACTGGACTGGTGCATTGACATCAATGAGTATCTGCCACATTTTTATTCCACTCTTCCTCCAACATCTCCGGGGACTATACATGGCTCCCTCTCCTCCATTTTATCTTCAGAATAGCCCTGTGTGGTAGGCTAAGATGAGAGAGAGTGAGTTGGCCCAAGGTCACTCGACAAGCTTCATGTGAGGATTTGAACCCCTGTCTTCCTGGCCAAAGCCCAGCATTTCAACCACACTGACTCTCAGTTAACTTTGGCAGGATGAACAAGATTTAAATCCAAGGGAAATAATTTAGCAGGATCATGGAACTGGGTGATTCAGTTAAAGCAGTCTTGTACATGAAAGTATTATTTACAGAAAAATAAATGGAAAGTATTATTTTATTATTAAATTTATTTACTAAAACAGTCACAGTTACAGAGAAGTTGTGTCTTTACTTGCCTGAGGAGTCAGCAAATTCACCTTTAGTTGCCCCTTTTACTGGTACACACATATTTGAAACATCCTGAAAACAACAACAACAATGCATTTAAATACACACTTTTGCCATGATTCAGAGAACTGTGAACAGAACAGAAAGCTGTGTGCAGACAGGAATGTATTTAAGGACTCCCTACTATCCCACCTAGGAGTTAATTGTTAATGCTCGAGATTCCTGCAGACTAGCTGTTGGATGTGTGGTGCAATGAGGTAAACTGTTTCCATGTGAGGACGCCAAGTTCTTTATATTAAAGGGTCTGAAAATTAGCAGCTCTTCCATTTCCACAACATTAAAAACAACAAATGATTGTGCCTTAAGCCACTGGATAATACTTTGTTATTGTTGTTTAAGGGATCTCCACTCCTTTCTTCCTTTTGATACAGATGCTATTTGTCCATTAAAGCTTGAGCTATGTTGCTTGCAAGAGCTATATGCCATTGCACGCCTTTTAAAAAGACTACCCAAATACTGTTAATTTCTCCAGGAAGAAAAAATCATTTGTCCATGTTCAGAAGTCTTTTTCTGATATACCATAAGTCTTTGGCTGCTTCCACATTAGGACACTTTTGTGCTACTTAGTCACTCAGTTTCTGCATTGAGCTGCAAGCATAATTGAAACTGGAGCCTCCACAAGGCACTTAATATAGCACTACATCCCTCATTAAAAATCCAGCGATATTTATCCTTATGGATTAGAGCATGCTAAATGTTTACTCAAAAGTAAGAGCTTTTGAGCAAAGTTTTCTTGATAAGGAATGCAATGGATTGCTAACACTGTCTGCATCTGGTGAAACATTGGACATCATAATTGTACTACTACTACTACTACTACTACTACTACTACAGATTTGTATCCCACCTAGCCAGGGCAAACTGGCTCAAGGTGGCGTACACGATAAGATTGATAAAATCTTATGCTGGGTCTGATTAGATGATACATTTAATGTAAGTTGTGTTAGGGAAAACTCCAACCCAACTCATATTTAACATGTGGCCCGGAACTCTCCTTAAAGACAGTGTGTATCTGTATGGGGGCAAGTTGGCTCCCAAGCATGCCTGGTGGTGAGAGGGGCTTCATCATTTCTTCCCTTCCACCCTTCCCTTCTGGCTAGCAGAAAAGGGCTATGGGAGGCAAGTTGTTTGTCTTATTGCTGGTCCCACATGTTTGCCCTGGAGACATGTAGAACTGGCAGTGAGACAAACAGCCTGCCTCTCACAGCCCTCTTCTGCTAGCGAAAGCATATGGGGTGGAAGGGATGGAACGATGAAGCTTCTCTCACTGCCATGCATACCTGGGTGCTGTTTCCTCCCCCTCACACTATTTTTAAGGTAAGCGCTGGGTCACACATTAAATGCAAGTCAGGTTGTCTATAGACCCTGTGTCTTCATTTTACACATTCAACATTTGGTATACAGTAGGCTACAGGTTCCTGAACCAACCCGGTCTTCAGGCTGTGCTCCTTCAATTCCCCATGAATGAATTGCTCCCTCTGTGCATTCAGGCACAGGTTCAAATCCAGCTCCAACTCCACCAGAAGGGCCACCCCCACAATAGCCACAGCAATTGCTCTGTGACATCAGAATGGGAATCACTGGTGGAAATAGAAGGAAGAAAAAAATAATTAAAATTAAGCTCAATATTTAACTCAGAATACAAGTTAAACACTGTATGACTAATTTTGCTTATGACTGGTAAGTTCTGAGACTCAAATATTAAGACAATAGGAATAAACAAGTGGGAGACCCACAAGGACTTGTGTGGGGCACATCACATTTCCCCCTCTCTCACTGTTTTATCTTACACTTCCCTGAAAGTCCCCATGGCCTTTCCCCTTTTCTTTCCTCCTACCTACCCACCAGCCAAGCTACCTTTATCTGCTCCCTTGTCTTCAGCTTTTCCTCCTTCCCTCCTTCTGGCAGCCACTTCCTGAGAAAACTCTGGGCAGCTCCAGTCCCTGGGGCTAGGCCAAACCTTGTTGCACAGTGCTAGCTAGGATTGTCAGGCCCCCACTAGGGTGGGAGTGGGAGATCCCCCTCTCTGGAGTCTGTCCCCCTGGTACCAATCAGCTGGCCAGTGGGAGACTTAGTGGTAACAAAAGCAGGCTAGGCATTTGGTCTGGTGTGCAGTGGAAGTGATGTCATCACATCACTGACGATGCAGGGATGTTCTAATATTGAGACAAAAACTCCATTGTAAAAATGACTTCTACCATATAGTTTTTGCCCAAATACCAGTGTGTCCCTATGTCACCAGCAATGTGATGACATCACTTCCTGTGCACGCTGTTGCTGTGTTGCTGGCAACACCGGCCTAGGCTTATCTTTGCACCCAGTGAGTTCCTTACCCCCAATAGTTGACAGGGAGTACCTGGCATCCCTAGTGCCAGCCATCAGACCAAGCCCAGTTATGTGATAGGGAACCCACATCAACCTGTTGGGGAGGCACCTCACTCTCCCCTCCAAGCCCAGTTATGTGATAGGGAACCTGTTGGGGAGGCACCTCACTCTCCCCTGTATTCCCCTCTGGACACTCTTTTTTCCCCCCTTCCTCCTGGCAACCCCCATATCCTTAACTGGAATAATGAACAGACCAGACAGATTTTTCTATAAATCTGAAAACAACCCAGGTGTTCTGTATGTTCACTGTTATATTACAAAATAAAAAAAATGTTATTTCAAATAAATAAATACATAAATCTGAAAACAACCCAGGTTTGTAAAACATCTGAAATCTAAAACAAACAAACACCCCTCCAACACAATAGAAGCAGCACTTTTAGCTGTAAGAAATGAATGCCCTCACTAGCCATTGCTATGCAACCACAACACTATTCAACCCTTGGCTTCTATCAGTAGAAGGCAGGGGCAGGGCCCTCTCCAAGGCTGTTTTGGCCTTTGAGGAAGGACTCATCAGGCCCAGGCAACTTGCTGCCACAGAACTGAAATGATTTGCCAAGGACTGGCTGCTTGCTACTGTTCAACAACAGCCACTCCACAAAAACCAGTGCAGTGTGTGTAGTTACAGTTTTATACTAGGATCTGGGAGACCCAGGTTCACATCAACACTGTCACAGAAGCTCACTGGGAGACTGGCTGGCACTATACGACTTGGCCATAGTTTTTCCAAGTGCAAACTGTCGGGGAAGGAAAGGGGGAAACCTGAAGACAGGTGGGCAGGCAAAGATGGGTTAGCTGATGGTGGGAAGGAGAGAAGGAAGTAAGAAAAGGGGAGCAGCTTTCAGGAAAAGAAAAAAGGAAATTGTGGGGGAAGGAGAAACGAGTCCCGCCCAAGTACTTGAAAGTCCCTAGTAATCTGTCTATCAGGTTCTGTGAATTCCAAGGTTTCATCAAAAAAGCAAGCCTCTAGCCCTTGCCCTGCACATGCCAAAACTGGTTTAGTTGCCATTCTTGACTGTTCTAAAACTTCTCTAGCCAAACAGTCTTAACCAGGGGTCATTTCGTAGAAAAAGAGGTGCAGGAGCTCATTAGCATAACGTATTTGCATATGCCACACACCTTGACATCACCGGAAGTGTGTCAGAAGGCAACACTCACCACTCGGGCTCCACTAGACTGTTTTGGATTGCTAGCTATTGGGGGGGGGGAATGTGCAGATCTGTCCTCACAGAGGAGGGAGAGCTTGTACCTGAAGTTGGGATGGGGGGGGACTCTGCAACTTACCTGGCTGCTTCTTGTTCCTTGTGGCCCGACTGAGGGCTGCTGGGAGCAGGGGGCAGGGCTTGTTGTATGTGCCCAACCCCTGGGCTCCTTACTGCCGGAGCTCAGCTCCTGTGCGCTCCCGCAGGAAATGACCCCTGGTCTTAACCAACCCCTTTCTATTGGACTTTCACATACTTGATGTAAACATTTTTGCTTTTAATTGCATAGAACCAGGAACATAGTCATTTTATTCTGACTGCTTTTATGTGTACTATGAACAACATCTTCTTCATTGTCTTTCTTTGCACAAAAAAACAACGAACAAACAAAGCACATAAAATCAGCTGCCAGGATGCTACTCCAGGGCAAAGAAGCACATACATAATCTTATCAGTGCCCAAATCCAATCTAATCATGCTCCCATCCCTCACACAATTTCTGTGTATGAGGCATTTTAGTTTTAAGAAGTTAAGAAAACAGAGCTCTGTGGTCATTCTGCATTCTGAATTAGCTGTGATATCACAAATTTTGGTATGAAATGCAGCACTTGAAACAGCCACCAAAGCTTCGTTACAGGTGAACAGGTGTGCATAAGCACAGTGTTAATGATCTGCAAACTCTCACATTGTTTAAAGCACATGCTAATTTCAACAGCAGATGCATAATGCACTTGTTATAAAAGAGTGATGTTTCAGGAAAAGGCTACATAAAAAGAGGTGTTATATTTGAACGAGTATAAACTATAAAACTAGAAATGGCAAATCTATTTTGAAGAAATACTTACACACAAATATTAATGCTCCGAGAAACATCAGAGCGATAGCAGCAGCACTAACTGTCATTGCTCCTCCCTGCTGTCTTGTGCCAAAACCATAATAATCACTGCTCTCACCACCACCAGCAGCCATACCAGTGCCACCACCACCATAGTCACCACCAGCTATACCATGATCCACCCCTCCACCACCAACTGTACCTATACCACCAGCACCATAATCTGCACCGGTTTCACCACCTGCTCCCCCAGCTGTACCCCCTGCTCCCCAACCAAAGCCTCCTGTTCCACCACCTGCACCCCCAGCTGAACCCCCTGTTCCCCAACCAGCAGCTCCACCACCAGGACCGCCACCAGCAGCTCCACCACCAGCAGCTCCACCACCAGCAGCGCCACCAGCAGCTCCACCACCAGCAGCTCCGCCACCAGCACCGCCACCAGCAGCTCCACCACCAGCAGCTCCACCACCAGGAGTGCCACCAGCTCCACCACCAGCAGCGCTACCACCAACAATAACAGTGATTCTTTGTGTAGCACCAGCAGTACATCTTCCATACTGATCACAGCGACAAGCTTGCAAGGGAACTAGTTGTGGTCTTTCACAACTTCTGCCTCTGTTATCCATCACATTAACGTAGACCTCGTGAATCTCAAAATTCATTCTCATTGTGGACAGTTCTGCAGAGGTATCTGTTAGGGAGAAGGAAAAGATTTTAAAAAAAAATTAGATGAAGCATTCTACTTTGGAATCTTTACTAGGGGATCCTTTGAGAAGAATGTAGTTGCATGACTGGGAATCAGGTGAGATGGTTGAATGAAGTCAAACACTTTCATTGAATCTTTGCCATAACATGGCCTTAGTTTTCTAGCTGATGCAAACTAACTTATGTATGTTGTTACTTATGAAAGTTAAAGAAACCCCAAGAACTTAAATGGCAAATGAGGCTGAAACAACTTAGGGCCCATCTCTGAGGCAGGCTGTTTAAAAGCCCACCTAGTTACAAAACAAATTTCCTGTGCCACATTGCAGCTGTGTTGCTGTCTTATCTATTTCCCCACCCATCCTGAGAACTCATTCAGATGCCTGTGTATCAGAAATACCTGAAAAATGGCCTCTGGTTGACAGAAGCAGGTAGCATACACAACTAACAAACAGGTAGTAGGTAGTTGGTACTGGAATGTGGACGTAGGGAGGCCTAGAAGGGTGTGCAAATGTGGGAGAGTTCAAGTTCTACAAATAATGTTACTCACCATTCACTATTCTGATAATCCATGAACTTTCTGGAGGCTGTGCTATTATGGTGAATTGAAAAGGCTGACCATTCGGATAATCATCTAGATCTGTTGCTGTGATTGTGATTGTTGGGCTGGACATGCAAACTTTTCTGATTTCACTGCTCACAACTGGGCAGTTATCATTGACATCTTCAATCATAAGCACCAAGGTACCAGTGGCTGTTGTGAAAGGGCTTTCTGAAACAGAAGTTATTTATTTAACAAATTATTTAAAATATTTATATCCCACCTTATGTCCATGGATTCAAGGTGGCTAACAAGCAACAAGTTGCAAGCATGCAGAACATAAAAGACTGTTAACAGATAAAACCCTCACAGATTTAAAAACACAGAGAGATTATAAACACACAGAATGTGTTCACGGGAGAAAAAAAATCAACAAATCAAATTAGAATCAGTTAAGAAAAACAATTTACTCAGTATATAAACAGGTCATTGACTTACAGCTGGTAACATTTAATGTCTGCAAGCCAGATACATGTCCAGAAAATAAATGGGGTTTATAGGTGGGTCTATTGGTGAAAGACAATTTAAGCAACCATTAAATAATCAAGTGATGATAAGCAAAATTTTACAAATTACAGCAGAAGATGCTGAGGACTTCTGGGGTGAAGGGATGAAGAAGGGAAAGCAAGGAAATGGACTTGCAAGAACCAATCAGATATTTAGCTTCAAGTGTCTAGGGGGAATGTTCACATATTTATTTAATGGACTTTCCTACACACTTAAGGTAGCTTACAGTAAATTACAAATATCAGTAGGTCAGTTCTGCAATGAATGAAATCTGTGTCTGAGCAAAAGTACTCTTGAATGATGTAAGATACCAGTTTCAGAATGCAGAGTAATTTCAGAGAAAGTGGGAAAATCTGTTTTCTTACCTGTACAAATAGCTAGCACCTCTGCAGTATAAGATCCTTTATATACATAAATTGATTCCCGATCAATTTGTTTCTTAATAGTGATTACAGCATGTCTTGGGTCGATATTAAACCAAGCAGCTGGATCTTTTCCCATCTGATAACTGTTTTTGATTAACAAAAATGATTAGAGTCAGTTATAGTCTGTTAATACAATTAAATTGCTAGTGCAAACCAGAAACATTTAGAAACCTATAAACATAGAGATGAAAAGAACTGCAAGGGTCATTTAGCTCAACCCCCTGCACAAAGCAGGAAATTCACAGCTACCTACCGCCCGACACCACCAGTGACCTTTGTTCTATGCCCAGAGGAAGGCTAGAAAAATCCAGGATCATTTGACCAATCTGGCCTGGAGAAAAATTCCTTCCTGACCCCAAAGTGGTGATCGGCATTACCCAGGGCATATAAGAAATAGCCACAAGAGCCAAGCACTGGATCATCCCTTCCTGCCATCCCTCTAGGGATGGGCATGAACCTTGTCATGAACCTAATTTCATGATAAAATTGCCAGGGTCGTGGTTCGTGAAACAAGGTTCATGCCATCTCACCTCAATGACCCTTCCACAACTCTCCACATGGTTACTGGGAGGTTTGTGCAGCTCGTGGTGGGAAGTGTGTGTGTGGGGGCCAAGAGGGATCCATTTCAGCCTAACAATAGGGCTGGTGCACCCATCAGCTGTGAGGCTGAAATAGATGCAAGCCATTTCAGTGATTCCTCTCGCTGAAATGGAGGGGTTTAATGGCTTGCAGCCATTTAAACCTAACAGCTGCTCCATTTTGCTCCCCCCACTTTGAAGCAGGGGGAAGTGAAATGGATGGGTTAAATGGCTCACAGCCATTTAATCTTTCCTGGGTGTTCCCCCTTTCTCCCAGCTGTGGCTTCCTGTGGCCCGGAGAAAGGTAGCCCAATCTGGCCCGAACCAATAGGGTCAGTTTGGGCATTTCTTTTACTATGTTCGGGGTTCGGTTCGGGTACAACCTGAGCATCAAAAGAGAATTTTCTGGTTTGTGCCCATTCCTACCCCCTTCTCATGATCTACCTAAATTCATAGTGGGTCATAGAATCAGAATTGCTGTTAGATGTAGCCTCTGCTTAAAAATCTCCAAGGAAGGAGAGACCACCACCTTCTGAGGTAGCCTGTTCCACTGAGGAACTGCTCTAACTGTCAGAAAGTTCTTCCTAATGTTTAGCCAAAAATAATTTTGATGTAATTTCAGCCTGTAGGTTCTTGTCTGACCTTCTGGAACAACAAAAAACAACTCCACTCCATTCTTTATATGACAATCTATCAAATACTTGAAGATGGCTATCACCTGAAAGGTGATATGATAGCCATCTTCTTCTTCTTCTTCTTCTTCAGCTCCTTCAACATTTCCTCATAGTACTTGGTCACCAGACCCCTCATCATCTTTATTGTCCTTCTCTGGACTCATGCCACTTTATCAACATCCTTCTTAAACTGTGGTGCCCCAGACTGAACACAGTACTCCAAGTGAGGCCTAACTAGAGCAGAATAAAGTGATACTATACTTCTGTTCTGTTGATACAGCCCCAAATTGTGTTTACCTTTTTAGCTACAGAATGGCAGAACAATTTTTTAAATTACATCTTCTCATTTTAAAATGGTTGAGCCATCTTAATCACATAGCTGACTCATGTACAGTGTATGACCTACTCAGACTCTGAGATCCTTTTCGCATGTGCTACTACCATGCAAAAAGGATGTAGGGGAGTTAGTAGATCATACACTGAACATGAGTCATCAGTGTGATTAAGCTGGCTTAACCATTTCAATATGAAATGTACTTTAAAAATTTATTCTGTCATTTGACATTCAAAATGAAATAAATTTTAAGTGAAAAGCAAATTGATGTGTGAGAACAAACCCTCTCTTTCCTAGAAATTAGCTGATGCCTTAGAGCTGTTAAAATGGTAGCAGACAGGAGTGATGCATGTATTAAGAGGATAACAAATCAAAATCTAAACCAAATATTTTTCAGAATTTTTCAAATAATGAATCCAATTGCAAAAAACCCCTTCAACCAGTAATCTCCAGCAATATTTGCAAATTACTTCCTGAAGTGCTAGTTTATTAATGAACTGAACTTTTTTTTAATATAGGGAGATTTTATTAACACTGGGGAGCTTTTAGCTTTAAGTTAGCCTTTCAACATGGAGATCCATGATCCCAACCAGTCTCACCCTCAGTCATGTGTACCATGGCTCTTAAATTGTTCATTTGCCTTGTGAAATAATTTTAGAGGGGCTAGGATGCTGCCTTTTATATATATTAAGGACCAAACCAGAAGAAAGAAAATGGCTTCCTTGCTGTCACTCTTTTCTTTGTCTTCCACACTGAAGTACTGGCCTCATCCTGCTGCTGCCTTTCATCCACAGCATCCTATTTCTGGCAGTCTCATTCAACAACCTACTGTCTAGTTTTCTGTCTGCCAAAATTAATTTTTGTTTGCTGTCATTATGATGTCTCTCCCTTCCCCAGCATGCTGGTAATCTCTGGCCCTTTCTGTACCTTCTATGAATGCATGGAAGCAGATAGATCAGAAGACATGCATTGTCTCCCGCTCCTGGCCTCCATCATGCATTCAGTCATCGACTGGAAGAGAGTCTGTGCATACACACCATGTGGCACTCTCTCTGTGCCATCTAAAGCCGTGAAAAGTCGTACGTAGAGGACTCTATATGTTTGGGGCATATCCTACTGCTGCTGTCTTATTCACATCATACTGTTTGAGCAGACAATTTGCTAATATTGTAATGTTGTTGTCTAGAGAGCTGGTTTAGAGATTATGAACAGCAAGACAGCAAAAGATCAAATTTGTGCATTTTGCACTTCAGCTGTAATCTGCAGAGATCGAGGCTCACAGATCTTACTGCAGGGAGTCACAAAGCTCCAATGATGCAGGGAAGCAGAAGTGCATGTGACTTGGGCTCCTGTTTTCTTTGTTTCTTGGATTAATTGAGCCAACTTTAATTGTCCTCATGCAAATGCCAGTTAGATTATAGACAGGCACCATGTAACTTCTGTACTGTCTGAGCCTTCAGGGAGGGCGGGAGATAAATCCAAAAAATAAAACAAAACACAAATCAGTGTATGCAGGAGTAGTACCATTAATACTGACAGAACAACCACATGGCTTTAAATATTGAGAATCCTTTCAGTACTTTTGTGGGTTTTTCTAAGGGCCAAACTAAGTCTGATGCTGGGAGATCTGTGAACATCTATTTTTCAGAGAAATACCAGCTGTGACTGGGGCCACTCTGTGTGGGAGGAGGTGTGGATCTTTCCCCTCTGCACTACGAGGCCTGGAAAACTTCTGGCACAGCTCAAAATGCTGTCTGTTACACATGAACACATGAAGCTGCCTTCTACTGAATCAGACCCTTTATCCATCTGTGCTGTCTACCTGACTTGCAGCGGCTCTCCAGGGACTCAGGCTGGGGGTCCTTTACATCACCTACAACTTGATCCTTACTGGAGATGCTGGGGATTGAACCTGGGACCTTCTGCATGCTTCTCTACTACTGAGCCATGGCCCAAGCCTTTACCTTTAAAGGCCTAAGAGGTTTGGAACCAAGACATTTAAAGAACCCCCTACTCCCATATAATTCAGCCTGTTGGGTAAGATCTGCTTCTGAAGACCTATTCCATGCACTTCCATTTGCAGAGGCAAGACAACTCAGTGTTCAGAGGTGGTAAACCTCTGAATACCAGTGCCAGGAAGAAGGCATCAGGGGAAGGAACTGGCCTCCATATTCTGTTGTTGGACCTCCAGAGGAACTGTTGGGCATTGTGTGAGTTAGGCTGCTGGACTAGATAGACCACTGGTCTGATCCAGCAGATCTTCTTATGTTCTTATGTGGGTAAGAAATTAGACTCCCTCTCCCTAGGGATTCACTTGGCACCAAGCTTGCTGAGTTGAGCATTAGGTGCCATCTGTTTCCCTAGACTATTTTTTAATTCATGTAGTTTAAAAATGCTGGCATTATAACAACAATTATTCTGGCAGAATGGCAGTTCCATTTGTGGAGGAGAGGTTTACCAATTTCTCTTCCACTGCGGACCCCACATTTTGCATCCACACTATTGCAGAGGGTTCTTTGCTGCCCATGAAGAGAATTTTCAGGGTTTCAGCAGGCTGCAGCAGAAGGAAGTAGGTGGGAAATTCCTCCTCTGCAGGCTGTACTCTGCTCATAGTACACAGGATCCGATCTTTTGGTTCCTACTTTTCATATATTGATTTGTACCCTGAACCACAAATGCCCTGATGATGGCCCTGGACATTCTATATTGTTTAGGGTATTTTAAACATTCCTTTCTCATCCTCCACTGTTTTACACACACACACACACACAGACACACACACACACACACACTACTATATTCCATATGTTGTTGGCACACTGGATTCAGATGCGATGCAGGTGTCCAGCCACAAAAGATGCTCAGAGTAAATAAAATATGCCTTACCGGACGTTAGTAGCAGGTCTTCCTGTATCCTGATCTATAGCTTGGAATGTCCCAACAGAGTAGGAGGTTGTGCTTGTACCTTCTGATGCAGTAACTGTTATTGTGGAAGGAGAAAATGTTGGTCCTTCCCTAATATTTATTACTTCTACTGAAAACGGGGTGCCCGTAGCTTGATACTGATTAGCCACTGAATAGTGGAAAGGAGCTACATTTCGTACACCAATACTTAACTGAATGTTTGAAGACTGTTCATAATCAAGTTCCTAAATGAAAGAAATAACATGGATTAATTTTAATGTATCCACCCACTCAAGGGTATCATACTCATGTATTAAATATCAATATATCATTTACCCCAATATATCATTTTTAATTTAAAAAATTGTTTTCACATTTTTTTCTCCCAGAAAAATTAAATGCAGTGAAACCGAGAGGCAGCAAATAGAAGTCAGAAGTAAGGATTTTTTTTCACACCTTAAGTAACTAGTGAAGTTGTTGGCAATAGGATATTGCAATGCATACTGGGAAAATCCAGTTCCCCAGTGGCTACTAGTCAAGCTAACCAAAAGTGCTATCTCCATGTTTAAAGTCAGTATGACATGTTCATATGCTAGTGAGAGGTCAATGGTGCCACTTCTAAACTTTGCTTTGCCAATCAACACAATGCTGAACAAGTGGTTTAAACAGCATGGCAGGTTTTATGTGCTTATGTTTAGCCATCCTGAAGCACTGTGCAAAGTCACATCTGCCAAGAGTTGCCAGCTTTTAACCCAGTCCCTCTAGCTGCCCCTTTAATATCATGTTGATCTGCAGCAAATACCAGGTGATGTTATTTACCTCTATGCCATAAAAAGCTACAACTGTCCACTTCCACACATTTAGCCTCTATTAAAAGGGGCAGGGCCTTTTCCTCTTGGCCTGTTGGCAAACCTAAGTGGTGGTGAGATTGCTGCAGTGAGAGCAACTATTATAGTTTAGAATGCAAGAGGGGAGCTACAAAACACACTAGACACATTAGAGAAATAGTTAATCCTCCTCGGCTTTGCCACATATATATATTAAAGGTATAATCCATGGTAGAGGATGCTGCTTGTGATGAACTAGTTGACTTCTCAGGTAAAAACAACAGTGAACACATAAAGCTGCCTCATACTCAATCAGCATCCTTGGGTCATCCAAGTCAGTATTGTCTACTCAGACTAGCTGCAGCTTTCCAGGATCTCAGGCCGAGGTCTACTACTTGATACTTTTATTTGGAGATGCTGGGGATTGCATTTAGGATCTTCTGTATGCCAAGCAGATGCTCTACCACTGAGTCACGGCCCCTCCCCAACATTAATTGCTTTGTTACTCATTAACTCTCCTGTATCAATTGAAGTTGCTGGTGGCTGAATAGCCCATTTACCAAGGCATTCTCTTTGGAAGACAGGACGTGAAAATAGACATTACATTGTGCAAAATCAAAGGAAAATAAATGTTTTAAAGAAAGAAAATAAATATTGCTGTCAAAATGCCTTATGTGTCTTATGTTAACAGGTTGACTATGTGAGCCTTTTCTCCTCCTGCTGGACAAGACAGAAGGCAGTGGGAATAGATTCTCCTATTTCAAATGTACAAACATACCCATACTTACTTGAAAGGAAGACAGCCCTGGATGTAAGATGACCTTCTAAAAATGTCACACACACACACACATGCATACACTCAAATGTTTTTTTGGAGATAACTGTAACTTGTATCAAATGTAAGATGACCCCCCTCTTTTTTGATGGCATGCCTGAGAAAAAAACCTGGTCTTGCATTTGGGAAGATACCATAGTATCAGATTGTGATCTTCAACAGCAACAGTGAAAGAGTATTTCAAATTCATACCTCTACCACCATCAGGATAGCTTCATTTGTCATTGGATCTACAGTTATAGCAAAGTTGTTGTTTTCATTTCCAGAGAGAAAGTAACACTCTGCTCTCCAGTTATCTGTATGCATTTGATCCAGATCAGTAATCTGTATCCTTATAAGCTCATCACTCCGTGTATTTTCTGAAATTCGTGCTGAATACTAGGGGAGGGGAAGAAAAGAAAAAGAAAACTGCTGTTGACATCTGACACTCTTAGATGAACTAAAGTTTAATGCAGACAAGTAAGCTGTGATGCTGGTTGGGAAGGCAGAGCGTTTGCTGGTATAAATCTATCAGCCTTCGATGAGGTTAAGCTTTCATTGATGGATTGTTTAGAGCATGGGGATGCTCTTGGGCCCAGCCTAGTTGATGGATAAGCAGGTTGGTACCACAACCTTCAGATGGGACTACTGCAGATGGCTCAGAAACCTCGATTGTTATGATATATATATAGGCAATCTGGACTACTTCTATTTCTGTTTGGGCTTCCAATGGCATAAAAATGGATCCCTTTGTCGGAACATTGGTGTTTCCCCCTAGGAAGCTGTTATGAATGTGAACAAGGAAATGTTGATGATGCTGGTGATTTCTGGTCTTACCGAGCTCTGTGAAAAGGTTGGAAAGTTGTCATTTACATCTACCACATTAACATCACAGGTGCATTCAGATGATATTCCATCTGGGCCTCCATTCCTGTCTGTGGCTTTCACTACCAAAGAGTAGCTACTATATTCCTAAATGAAAGGGGGGAGGGCAGAATTGTTAAAAATGTCACATTAGTAATAACGTACACTTCATTAATATACCTTTCTCAACAAAAAAAAGGTTTGTTTATGACTCATTTAGGGTTGCCAGGTCCCCCCTGGCCACTGGTGGGGAACTCATTGGAAAAGCCTGAGAGGTTTTGAATATCCCACTGTACACTACTTTTCTGGTAGGTTGGGTAAGGTAGGCCACCAGCAGGAGACTGGGAGGGTGAATGTGAGGGGTGGCTGTTGCTAATGGGAAGTGACATCATGGCATTGGCCCAACAGCCATTTTTTTAAATTGACAACCATTGCAGTAGGGAAATGCCACTGAGTACCACTGATTACAATAATATTTACTTCCAAGTAAGCCTTTATGGGATTGCAGCTTTACCCCTTTTTTGCTTCCTTTTCTTCTCTTTTCTATCCCTTTCGGGGGGTCAAAACAGATGAGACACTGGGAAATCTATGGTTGGATCCTCCCAGTATTTTTCAAGTGCTAATTAAACAGTGCAGGGCTCTTATACTGATTTGGGTGCGGGTGTGTGTGTTAATTCTCCCACCATGTGGTTTTGCTGATCAAGACTGCCCACTAACATTGTATACCCCACAACAGAAAAAAGACAGGTTTTTAATTGAGAAACTGCACCTAAATTTAATCCCCTCCCTCACAGAAATAAAAGAGAATAGTCATTTTTTCACTCAACAAGTGTTCAGCTGTTACTCAGTTGCTAAAAATTCAGAGGGAAGCAGCTACGTTGCAAGGGTTTCCCTTCCAGTACTCATAAGGCCATATTTTCCTATGAGGTACAAGGAAGGATTCTTTTACCTCTCTGTCAAGCATATTTGCAATGTGAAGTTCCCCATTTAATGTGTTCAAAATAAACTTTAATGGACCTCCAGGAGACTGACTCTCAATCTTGTAGGCAATTTTGGAATTCAGGGTATTTGGCTCATCTGCATCTGTAGCTGTTATTTTCATCACCAATGTGTCTGGAAATAAGACAAGAGAGAGTATGAAGAACTGCATTTCAGTTTATTAAGGAATGGGACAGACTGGGAGGAAAAAACAGGGGGAAGGAGAAAGAGGCTTGACTAGCTAGCGTCTCCTTTGCTGTGCAGGGCTCAGACACATATCTCCTTCCCCCTCCTGTAATGGGGTTGGGCTGTACCCAGCTAAGGAGATGCTGGCCCAGCTACTCTGCACAGGGCTTGGCCATGTGTCTCCTTCCCTGCTCAGCATGGAGCTTTGTGGGGTTGTGTGTGGTGAAGGAGGAGACACTAGCCTGGGCCAAACTGCGTAGGGCTTAGCCATATGCTTCCATTCCCACCTAGCACAGGGTGAGGGCCACCCTTTTGCAGCAGCAGTGCCCCCCTCTGGGAGAGGGATGCCCCTCATTTATGGCTTAGGTGGGGGGGCATCAGGACTTTCCCCAGTGGGCTTAATGGCCAGTCCACCCCTGATTAAGGTTAGCATATAGTGGGAATGATCTAAGACCAGAACTGGCTACATTTTCAAAATCTGACATAGATTTCCAACAAACACCTTAGTCTCTGAGAGTATTCTGTTGCAAAGTAATTATGAGTTCCTTATGAAAAGCATGGGTTTTGCAAACAGGTACTTCTAAAAAGAAGGCAACATCTATATGGTTGCCTTTGAATTTGTTTTCAGTGTATCAATGGGAAGAAACAATGGGCTGGATCCAAAGGCGTCCTTGTGCAAGTGGCTGGATCGTGCCTGGATTTCAAAGGGCTGTGACAAAATTAGGAACTAGGCAACATAATGGACAGTTACACAGAGAAGATTTTATGTCTATACTCGTGAATAGACATGGCTGCATTACATTTGTAGCATACTTACCCTCCATGCTGCTTTCACTAATTGACCCAGCGAACACGGCTTGTGTAAATACTGGTGGATTGTCATTTATATCCAGAACTCGAACTCGAAGTTGAAGCGCAGTTTCCACTGACTGCTGTGTAACTGGATTTATAGCATAACAGTCTATCTGGATTAAGAGTTTAAAATGAGAAACTAATTCACAATGGGTATATGCTATTCCAGATACTGAAAAACATTCGGTCAAAAGCAGCTTTCTTCCAATTTATAAGTTGTACAAAAATAATAAAGTAGGGGAACATTTTTGAAAACTTAGTACTTACAATAAAAAATGGATTTGTCTCTCGATCAACTATTTTTGTTATATTAATTTCACCAGTCTTCTGATTGATGACAAATACACCAAATGGATGACTATCAATCCCTTTCCCTGAGATTTTGTATATAATTGATTGCTTTTCTTCACAATCTGATCGTATCTGCAACAACAAGGAAAAAATTGGTTTCTTATTGTCAGTCCAAATGCTTTAGTCAACTTTAAACGGTCCCCCAGTGATTCCTGACAACCAGCTTTAACAGTATATATGTGGTGGATATCATGGGAAAGACATCATCTGTGAATTTATTTATTTATTTAGAAAAGATATATGCTGCCTCACCAAAAATCTATTAGAGAAAGCTTACAAATAAAAAACATACAATAAAATCATAAAACAACAATGTACATTATTAATGTGTACAAGCCATTAAAAACAGCACAAAACTGAACAACCTAAAGTGATATTCTATAAAACAGACCTCAGGCTAGAAACAAGCCATAAAAACAGCTTAAGTGATAGAACCAGGTAAAATCCTGGGTGATGAGAAATGTTTTGGCCTGGTACCTAAAAAACAGCAAGGCAGGTGCCAGGTAAGCATCAAGGGGGAAGGGCATGGCAAAAAAAATGAGGTGCCACCACTGGAAAAGCCTTGTAGTTGCCCTGCCTCACCTTTGCAGGTGGAGACCCAGAGAGCAAAGCTTGGGAAGATGATGCAGTGCTTCTGCAGCATCAGAGCACTATGGATCAGCCCCAGAAGACAGTGGAGACATAGTTCTCCTGGAACTGCCAAGCACCTGCTCAGCCAGCAACACAACCAACATCTGCATGGAATGACCAGTGTACATCTCATTGCTCTGCTGTGGGGTTGCTAACTGTCTTGTATCAGCCCAGCTCCTGGATCCTCACAACTGTTCAGACATTTATTCATCTAGCACAATTGTCCCATTCATGGGCATGCAGTGATTGGAACAGATGTACCTGTGACTCTGTCAGGGTGACTTAAGGCACATGGGACATTACTAGAATGAAGGAGAAAGCAACCCCATCCACTTGACCGGGCTCCAGTTTTTCTGAGTCACATCTCTCCTTAATTGAGGTTCTACAGATTGGGCTCATTTCTCACCCACCCCTGCTCATTTCTTCCCCCAGTTATCTTCAGCAAGCCTTAGGATGGGGCTGAGGGGGGTGATAAAAATGGGCATATCTATGCTTTTGCAAGGAGGAGGAGAAGGAAGTCTTCCAGACTGTACACGTCCTCACATCATTGCTGGCAACTGATAAACAATGCAGCTCATATAAGGGAGGGGCAGGCAGGGATTTGATGGAGGGCAAAGGCTGTCAGGGTGAATGGGTGGAGGCAGTGGTGTTCCTGCTTCTGAGTGAAGGAAGGAGATGGTGTATGAGGACTCCCTGGTGAAAATGATGGCCATTTGTATCAGCCAGTCAGTATGAGTGGTTCATCCCATGAGATTCAGCTCGATGAGGCAAAATTTCAGCCAGGTTTGAGACTCTATCCACAATGTCGCAGGGCTCTCCCCATGTGGGAATTTACCTAGTGTCTTGAGTATGCTGTGCCTTTTCACTGTTACATTCTTCCCTGCCCTGTTCTATGTGGCTGTGGTCAACATCAGGGCTGCTGGGAGGATGCCTAATATGCTCAGAACTGTGCTACCCTTCTTAGGAATGGAATAGAATCTCTACAATCTGGAATCCCAGGAGCACACTGTAATAGTTACTAAAAGCCATTGCAGCCATTACTGCAATTACTTTTTCATGTAAGTGACAGCAGAGAGAGCTGGTGACTCAGAAGGTTGCACCTTCTCATCCATGTAACTTTCAAATTGCCTTTAAAAATTAATTATGATTTCCTTTTTTTGAAATTAGAATGGTTAGAATGGTTAAGCTGTTATTTTGTCAGTGACTGTGTATGCCCATGTAATAGTTTTCCTTTTAATTTTTCAGCCTTGGGAGCGGTACTCTTTCTTACTATGCACTTATACACTTTGGTTTCTCCCCCCCCCCTTTTTAAATATAAAGGAAATGGCAATGTCTGTCCTGTTATGGCATAGTTATATGTTTGTCCATTTTGTTGTGGCAGGATATCACATAGGCAATTGCATTGTAGTTTATAGGAGTATAACCCATCAAGATAATATGCCACCAGAGTGTGCAGTGTTTGTAAGGAAAAGCCCCAAAGCAGAGTACTTGGAAAGCAAGGTGCCCCGATTTCTTTAAAGCAGTGGAGGGCCAGCCAGATCCCTTACTGGAATGGCAAGAACAGAAAAACTATCCTCTGCAACAGCAGAAGATGCAGTAGGGCATCATTTCTCAAAAGTGAGGTTCTCTGGCTGAGGTTTAGACATGATAGAGAGAGACAGTGCTTGTCCAGGAAGCATTGCACCTTAATTCTGAGTAGGTGGGGATAGATTGTGGTTGCTTAGTAGTGATGGAAAGGCACTCTGGATGCATTTAACAACACTTTCCTTTATTGCAACCTTGCTTTTTCAGAACTCAGCCCTAGCACAGAAAGCAGATTCCAGTTCTAAGGCTTGTCACTAACAGAACACTTGTTTGATTTTAATGTATATGTAATAGAATATTAAACAAAACAAAATGCCAACCCTTACAGTTCTGGAAGGAGTACTCATTACTTTAGTAATTTCTAATGGTTGAGCAGTATTGTTTTAATTTGCTTGGCGCTTACCCTGGCAATTGGATTTCTCCTTGAATTATCCTCGCCTTCCCTAATGGCAGCAGCAAACTTAATCCATTCTCGTTTTTGCCTCCGAAATGTTTTCCACCTTTCCACACCATTTTCATCCCATTCTTTCACCTGAAACCAAAAACATACCAGAATTACTCTAGCTGTTCTGAATTCTGACAAAAAGTAAAACCTCAATTCAAGCTACTGGTTGAACTGTTATGACATCAGGTTCACAAATAATTTAACTCCTATGAGGGAAAAGGCAGATGTGGAATGCTGTGAACCATGGCTGCTATTGTGAGGGAAATGGAGGGTTAGTTTGGCTGCGTTAAAGATGAGAGATAGGGCCTATTATGCACTAGTTTTTTTCCTCGCTTTCACCATGCATCACAGAGTCCGATCAGACGGCTCTTTAGATCTGCGTGAGTCACGATTGCCTCACGGATCTAAAGGTAATGTCCAGACACAAACATCTGAGAAATGTCCCTCTTCCATGGTTATCCCGTTTTGCCGTGCTTCGGAGCCGTACTTAAAAGATACCACTTTAAATCTGGGGTTTTCGGTTACCTGCGGGACAACTGCGGACTTTTAGCCATCTGATCGTTCCACCAGTGTGCAATCCACCCATCAGGGTGGTCTGATGTCAGACCATCCTGAGCGGGTGTCATTTCAAAAAATCTCTACACAGGCACGGATCAACAAGGACACACTGTCACGTCTATGTGCATCCACAAAAAGTTTTCTTTAAAAATACCCACTGCGCGCCTCCTTCAACAAGGACGTGCTGTGATGTCTATCCACAATTTTTTTTTTAAAAAAACCCACCGCGCACACCTTCAGTGGACGCTGTCTAGACAATCCACAATGGAGGCAGCATGCAGTAAGGCGATTCACCAGGAGGATGTCTGGTCGTGCTATGATGAATTTAAAATATCAGGATCAAATTCAAGCTGGCATAATGGCGGGATTAGTTGCTTGTTTGAACGCACCCACTGTTGGGTTTTGTATTTTGTTTTTTGTCATTCTGCTTTCTCCCCACTGTCACCATGCATTTCTGTTGGGTTTTCTTTTTCTTCTGCATTGTTTTCCCCCTTTTAATGCTCAGTTTGCTTTCTGCTCGCAGTTTTCCTGCAGTATTTCAGAGTGCTTTTGATGCAGTCTTTCCCCTTGCCTCACTTGAAAGCCATAGGTAAAATTCAAAAGCAGACAGATTCCCTTGAATTTTTCCCTCCTCCCTTTCCCCACCCCTTAGAAGCCCCGCCCCCACTCACATTGCGGTCTTACCTCCACTCTGCACCTTCCACCATCTTCCCCCCATTCAATGGTGCTTATTTGTAAAATTTTGGGTTTTTGTAACAAGCAGGATGAGTTTAACAATAGGACTTTATCGTTAAACTTGGACTGCTGAGGAAACATTTTTACTGAACTGAGAGGTAAGTGTGTATGTGTGTGTGTGTGTTCTGCTGGGCAGCCTGGTTTAGACTGTATTTCCATAATAGAGCTCGCCCAGGAGCCGATCCTGCGAGGAGAGTTCACCCTGCAGGACTGGCTCCTGGGAGGGCTCTGTTGGGCAGTCTAAACCAGAACTCCCAGCAGAGTCCCAGCCAAGTCTCCTCACAGGATCAGCTCCTGGGGGGCTCTGTTGGGCAGTCTGGTTCCAACCAGGCAGTGCATCAGCACCCCAGCCAAACACACACACACCCCCCTTGCAGTTCAGTAAAATGTTTCAACAACATCCTAGTTTATCAATAAACTCCTCTGGTTAAGCTCATCCCTGAGTAAAAATAAAACAAAATTAAAGGACAATGTTTTAATGTTTGAAACGAGCTGTGGAGGCTTAGTTCCTTGCAGGCTTAAAGGAGGATTGGAGAGGATGCAAACTGCAGTGTCCCCAGTGCAAAAAGCAAGCAAGCAAACAAACAAACAAAAGGATTTCAGTGCTACATGCAAACAAAATAAAAGGGTGGGGGGAAAGAGAATTTATGTTATGGTCAAGTGTGCCACAATGTACCAGGCTTTGCAAAAGCCCTGAAGAACGCAGGTGCTGTTACATAAATAAAGTTCAATCTTTTCAAACACCATGGAGGACATGGAAACTACCATTCCCAGGTTTACCAGAGGCATTGGTGTGGGGGGGAAGCAACAAATCCAGCTCAGATTATCCATTTTGGGGAACAACTGAAAGTGTGGCTGGGTAGCAAGGACAGACTGATACCCCTCCATGAATGAGGCAGCTGCAATTGGGCAACTGCAGAAATTAAAAAAACACAACAACTTTGGAGGCCACCCCCCACACACATCACAAGTGACGTCCCCACCACAATTAAGAAAAACTGCATTTTTTCTTAGTAGCTGCACAATGAATCTACTAGAGAAAAAAGAAATACACCAGAGGAAAAAATAATATGAGGACGGCAGGCACAGAAATTCAAAGTCAAGTTTTAAGGCTGGACTGCTCAGATTCTCTGCAGTAAACTGCAGTAAGCTGTGTGTGCAGAAACAGCCTTAGTATACTGCAGCAAGACTTGTGAACAGGGATTTAGATTGCAGTGGTTAAGATGCTGAGCTGCAGACTGGAAGTTCGAGCTCCGAGTGCCACATGATGGAGTGAGCTCCTGTCTCTGGTCCCAGCTCCTGCCAACCTAGCAGTTCAAAAGCAAGAAATTGCAAGTAGATAAATAGGTACTGCTTCGGTGGGAAGGTAACAGCGTTCTGTGCATCTTGGCGTCTAGTCATGCCGGCCACGTGACCACGGAAACGTCTTCGGACAGTACTGGCTCATTGGCTTGGAAACGGAGATGAGCACCGCACCCCTAGAGTCGGATTGGACTGACTTTCAAGCAAGGGAAACCTTTACCTTTACTTAAGGAAACTGAAGGCTATGGAGCCAAGCATGCATAGATAGAGGGAGGGACTTCATATGCTTTAAAGGTAGACCGGCAGTACACCACCACTGAGATGGCAGCGGTCTCAGACAGTGATCTGAAGGAGGCACATGGGCTTTGGGGAGCAACCTCAGACTGGGCCCACATGCAGGAAAGGCTATGAACTGTAAATAAGGAGTACAGAGTTGAAGAAGACAGAATTTCATACATTGCTTCTAACTAAATAGCCCAATCTACATCTGCAAGTTTTCAATTCATTTATAACATGAAAGATTTGTAGGATACACTAACAAACAGCAGTATTAATTACATTCCAGCAATTAAATTACCTCAACACGAAAGCCAATGCTGCACTCCAGGAGCACCTATGAATGGAACAAGAAGAACAGTGTAAGTACAATGTACTTTTTGGTAAATTTCCAGTGATAAGGTGCATAATGTGCAAAACAAAACAACCCTCCTCCAAACCTCCACCTTATAGACGCTATAGAAATAAACTTTGTTTTAGGGTTGCCAGGTCTCCCACTATAGCAGGAGACTTCCCGGCAACCTGCTCTTTTTCAGGTGCTGGCAGGAGGAAATGGGGAAGGAGACTGGGTTCACTGACATGATAACTGATATAAACCAGAAGTGATGTCATGGATGCTCTAAGGTTTACAAAAACTCTGTGATTTTGCCATAGAGTTTTTGTGAATCCTAGAGTGTTCCGTGACATTATTTCCAGTTTTTACTAGAAGTCATGTCAACATGCTGGCATGACACTGCTGTGCCAGTCACCATCCCTGATAGATTATAGAGGCTGCCAGTTGTGGCCTGGCAACCCTGTTTACATCATTAATAGTCTGAATGTCTTCATATAAATTGGTGATGGCACTTGCTGATGTGCTGGTTTGTAATTCTTGGGAATAAAATCCAAATGGCCTTGAATGGAACAGAACAAAACTAGGAGTTTCTACTTGCTCTCTACTAGTATTGAGCTGAAATCATCCTGGGTAAGCAGCACATAACAATGTGCCCTCAGTGTGGCCGTGTACACAAACTTTCTCTTTTATGTCTGATTGTGGCAGTCCCTCCCTAAGCCATGCAGAGAGCAAACCTCTGCATTTCTTGAAAACATATACCAACCAGTATCTCTTCCCCAAAGTGAAGAGCCAGTCCTGGCTTTTTTGAGATTCCTTGGCGCATGAAGTGCTTCTTTTACTGTAAGATAGGGTTGCTAACCTCCATGTGGGGCCTGGAGATCTTCCAAAATGACAACTGCTCTCTAGACTACAGAGATTAGTTTCCCTAGACAAAATGGCTTGTTTGAATGGTGGAGTCTATGGCATTATACTATTGAAGCCCCTCCCCTCCTCAAATCCTGCCTTCCTCGGGGTCCACCCCAAATTTACCAATGAAAATTTGGCAACCCGACATGAGGATGTTTATTTTGCCAGTGTTTTGTGAAACCTGCTAATATTTTATTATTTGCCCCAACTCTCATGGCATTCAATTTCTGACTGGCATCCCCTCAGTAGCCATTTTGTGATGGTGCCCACCAGTGTTCCCTCTAAGCTGAGTTAGTGTGTGCTAGCTTACAGTTTTTTAGCCTCCAGCTCACACATTTTTGTCTCAGCTCAGGAAGGGTGGCTCCAGAACAAACTAATTTATGCAGTAGCCAAATTGTTCACTCACAACTTTAATGCCACTTGCTCACAAAGTAGAATTTTTGCTTACAAGACTCCACAGCTTAGAGGGAACAGTCTTTTCTTAAAATTCCAAAAAATGCTCAAAGGACAAAAAGAATGCTCAAGGTTGAAGTTTTTGATATAGATAAAAAAAGATAGAGTTGATGGGTGAGATCCTTTATCATTTAAGCTCATACTAGCTGCAGTATCTTTTCTTTCTCAGCCAACTTTCCTTGTTTGTGTCGCTGCCCTCTGGCTTAAAAATACAACTTTATGCAACTGTCATTAACAGAACTAACACCATTTGTTATAAATGTGACAAAGAAGAAGAAGAAAAATAATAACAACAAGAAGAGATTGTATTTATACCCCGCCCTTCATTCAGAGTCTCAGAGCGGCTTACAAACTCCTTCCCCTTCCCCTCCCCACAACAGACACCCTGTGATGTACCCTGTTTTCCCGAAAATAAGACCTACCCCAAAAATAAGCCCTAGCAGGATTTCTATGCATTTGTGGTATAAGCCCTAGTGTGTCTTCTTGAGAAAAAATAAATATAAGACAGTGTCTTATTTTCGGGGAAACACGGTAGGTGGGGCTGGGAGAGCTCTCACAGAAACTGCTCTTTTCAAGAACCCCCATGACAGAACTATGGCTTGCCCAAGGTCATCCAGCAGCTGCGAGTGTAGGAGTGGGGAATCAAACCTGGTTCTCCTAGATTAGAGTCCGCAGACTTAACCACTACACCAAACTTTTATACTGAGTAGTTTAAATTGTTATGAATTTTATTGTGGATGTGTTATATTGTTTTATTGTATTTTATCTATTTAACCCAGCATTAGCTGCTTGTTAGCCTTTCATTTCATTCCTGTTATCACAACAAAGATTTTTTTGCCGAGCTGAACATCTATTCTGTTTTATGAGCTGCTTGACATGTTCTAGCATCTCCCTGTATTTCCAACTCCAAATTTTTTTTACAAAGGCCATTTATTAGCTTGCCGAAAACATGCAGCAATGCACTTGGGAGCATCATACCATTGATAACAGATGAGATGTTTATTGTGTATTTTTGAGTACATAAATACCCTTTCCAAGCTGGAAGGTGTCCAGAGGAGGGCAATGAAGATGGTGAGGGGTCTGAATACCAAATCCTATAAGGAAAGGTTAAAGGAGCTGTTTAGCCTGGAGAGGAGACGACTGAAAGGTGATATGATAACCACCTTCAAGTATTTGAAGGGCTGTTATAGAGAAGATGGTATGGAGTTGTTTTCTGTTACCCCAGAAGGTTGAACCAGAACCAACGCATTGAAATTAAATCAAAAGAGTTTTCGGCTAAACGTTAGGAAGAATTTCCTGACAGTTAGAGCGGTACCTCAGTGGAACAGCCTTCCTTGGGAGGTGGTGGGCTCCCCTTTGGAGGTTTTTAAATAGACACTAGATGGCCATCTGACAGCAACGTGATTCTGTGGACTTAGGCAGAGGGCAGGAGGGAGTTGCATCAGTGCTTAGTTCTCATGGCCCTTTCTTACACACCCATGGAAATGCTGATCACCACTTTGGGTTCAGGAAGCAATTTTTTACCAGGCCAGTTTGGCCAGGGATCCTGGAGAGGGTGGGTTTTTTTTGGCCATCTTCTGGGCATGGAGCAAGAGTCACTGGGGGTGTGGGGGGGAAAGGTATTTGTGAATTTCCTGCATTGTATAGGGGGTTGGACTAGATGACCCTGGAGGTCCCTTCCAACTCCGTGATTATATTATTCAAATATTTATTAATTTATAAAATTTATATTCTGCTTTTATGCCCTTACAAGGGTCACCAAGGTAGCTAACAATTTAAGGCATATGTGATAAAATGACACCCCCCCCGAAATACACAAATCATTAAAACAAGTTAAAAAAAGACTTAAAGTAAGTACAAAGACTTCAAAACAGCAATTAAAACATTGAGCAGGAAGGAGGGATCACTGAGGGAACACCAAATGAAACAAAAATGTCTTCACTCGCTGGTGGAAGATGGCAACAGAAGGGGACAGACAAACCTCCCCGGGAAGAGAGTTCTAGAGCGCTGGTGGCAAGACTGAGAAGGCCCTCTTCTGGGTTGCCACCTGCTAATCTTGAAAGGAGGGGGCAACTGAAGCAGGACCTCCAAAGATGACTATGCAAGTATTAATGAAAACGTGCAGATAACACAGATTTGAAAGGTAGTGGACTGACAGCTACTTTCCTAGGGAAATGGACAGAAAAACACTTTGCACCCCTATGTATATGCTCTTATGTTTTGCAATATTACCATCTCTGCAATATAGCCATCTATTTTGCCATTTGTATATGTGCCTGGAAGTTGTACTCTGCAGTCTCATCCCCAAACCAAAACATGCTCAATTTTCACTTGGGATATAGAACTTTCAGAAGCAACTTTTCCTCCTATGTTGAGTGTCATGCTGTAAGTTCTTTCCATTATTTAATTGCAAACATAGGCCCCGGTCACACGGGCAGGAAACTGCAGAGGAGAAGCGTGGCTGTTTGCCCTGGGGCAAACTACTGCGCAGTTACGTGATCAGACCTCCTGTGGAGGTCCTGTGGAGGTTCCATGGCAAGGGAGAGGTGCCGATCACAGGACAAGCCGGCGCACAACGAAGAAGCGCGCGCCGCGGCAAACTGTTTTTTATTTTTGTGTACATGACAAATGTGCATGCTCCGTTGGGTGCGCATGCGCATCCACAGAGACTTGGACAAAAAAAACACACCTTATTTGCAAGGGAACATGGGCGGGCGCCGGATGCCACCGGAAACGCGATCAGACGCCCGCCCTTGCCCCGCAGTTTCTGGAAACTAGTAACTTCAAGGTAATGGTTTTTTGCCACGCAGTTTTGGCTGGAAGCCTCGGTTGAGCCACGGGAGTGCTACGTTTCCCAGATGTGCTGGTGAGATCGCGCCCGGAAACTCCGGCTGTTTTCTGTCTCACTTGTGTGGCTTCTGTTACGTATGACCGCAGCCATAATTTAGCTGAATTTAACTTCTGATCTCTTCCAAAATAATGGAGGCTCCATGTTTGTGGTTTTGAGCTCCTTGAAGGAAAGGGATACAAATGGGCGAATGAATGAATCTATGAGATACCAGCACACTTGGGAGGACATTATTGATTGATTTCATGAAAGATATATTTGGAAAAGTTATTTATACATCTATGTATTATTTATTTTGGTTTTTCTTGGCTGCCTCTCCAGAACACGTCTTGAAGTGGTTTACAACAAATTTAATATCACATAAAGCAATAAAAAGTCAGTCAGTAATTTAAAATTGTCAAACAGCAGGGCTAAATCATAGATACCCAAACCAATATAAAAACACATGAAAAATACAAAAAAGAAAAAAGGAAAATCATGTAGGAATTTTATTAGCTAAGTGACTTTTCCAGATTTAAATCAATTGAACTAGCAGTCTATCTGCAGAAATCTGATATGGATAGCTCATTTCAACATAAAACCCTATGTTGGTTGGAAAACTCCTGGAGATCTGAGGGTGTAGGCTTGGGAGGGTGGCATTTGGAGAAGGCATTTGAAGCTATTTGAAATGTTCAAGAAGAAGCAAGTGTTACAGAAGTGTGCACAAATCTTCTGCATGAAGCACCAGTTTTCTGGGTTCAGCATTTTTTTTAAAGGTGCAAAGTGGGGATGCCTCCACACCTACAATCTGAAGCAG